ATGCGCTTCGCATCTTCCAGCACACGGGAGCAGAGCCTTGTTTCTGCCTGCGATGCGCAGGCCAGGGTTCCTGCCCAGTCCTCTGCGCGCTCAGCTGCGTTGTCCTCAGACTACCTTCGAGAATCTTCGAGAATCATGCAGAATCAGACAGAATATATTATAGTATATTACAATATATTATAGTATAATACAATCATGCAGAATTGTATAGAAGTGTGCATGCAAACCAAAGTCCCATCACGTGGAAAATATTGGAAAATCATGGCAAATCGTGGAGTCATGTAGAGCCAATGGAACCGCGTGGAACCCGTCGAATTTGTATGAATCCGTACTTTAAATGGTCGTAGGATCAAATCTTTCCGACGCCTGCAGGCAGAGCCAGTGCCTCCCAAGCCCAAGACTGGCGCAGCATCTCCAGCGTTGTCCTCAGGTTGTCGGAGAACATCGGAGAAACATCAGACCCACATAGACATACATAGACCCATACAGAGTCGCCCTTAAAAACCGATAAAAATCAACAAATCCATAAAAATCCATAAAAAATCCCATCAGGTGGAGCATTGTAGAGCATTGTGGAGGATTTTTGGTTTTTTATTAGACATATATTATATAATATTAATCGAAGGAAGTTTAGAAGTCAAACTTCCTATATATTTTGATCCGTCCCTTAGGTCAATTGCTATCACGTTGAAAATAGAGGGATTGGCATGGGATAATTCAGGTGCGCCAGCTCAAATTATTTTCCATGACTTAGATGATTTGGGGGTAGCCTAATGGCAGAAGAAGCCATCCAAATTGACCATAGATATATTTGCATAAACCTTAGCGATGCCAAATACCAGACTGGCTCATGTCATTACCATCACCCATAGGCTCCTTTGGCGGCGGAAATCGACACGATCGCCCAGGCCGTGAAGCGCGAAAGCAAAGCTGCAAAGACAGCAAAAGTAAAAGAAAAAAAATGTCAAAGATGAATTACAACATCAAAACCAAAACCTAGTTAAATCACTAAACAATTGAATGCTTTAATAGAGATAAATAGAGTTAAACGTTTTTAAGAACTGTTTGCGGAAATTGAAATAATTTCCGAAAACAATTTTTACAAAGCTGGCTGGCTGGCTGGCTGGCTGGCTGGCTGGTTGGCTGGTTGGTTGGTTGGTTGGTGGCTGTGGCCCCTTGCCCTCCCTTTCTGTGGATCCCATGTCCTGACCTACCAGTGGACCCCAGGGCTGATGAGCACCACTGGTGGGGATGATGGATGTGCGGGAGGATTGGGGGGTAATTGAAACCACAGCCACTTCTAGCAGCTTGATTCAAAGATTCATGGCAGGAGATTGATGCTGCAGCTAAAGGTGTTTGCGCATTTTGCCGACCCCATTTTCCAAAAGTGCTCTCCGAGACTGATTTTTTCGTGCTGACAGTTTTTTACGATTTTTATGTGAAACCGAGCTCTCGCTACAGTCCTGTGCACGTTTTGTCGACAACTTTTGCAGATCGAGGCCCGCACCCGCGGAAACACTTTACCCGAAAAAAACGCAAGGTTTTGCGCCCGATAGTCTTTTCAAACCTAAACTCACGCGTTCCCGACCTGTTACACTTCCCAACTATGACATGACGATGTGGTTGGCATGATGGTGAGAATGCTGGTGAGAATGCTACCCATGACAGACGTCCGTAACTCGGAAGTTTTCTAACTAAACTTCTTTTGATCATATCCCTTGCATACCCAGTCCCCATATTTTTGCATATATCACCCACTGGCCATTTCAGGAACCTAATTGGAGATACCTAGCATATAGTATATACACAGCATAAATTTCAGGGCTAAATTCCAATTTTTTCACCAAAAAAATCTTAAGAAATGGTTTAGTAATGTTTGCCTCCATTTTAGGGTCCTAAAATTCCCACGAAAAATCATCACCATTCTTCTCGACACATCTCCCCTAGGGTGCCGAAAAATTTGAGGCTCCACGGGGCCTTCGCCTCGGACTTCGAATCGGAGATGTCGCAGAGGTACGAAGCCTATGCGGAGCATGATGTGCCGCGGCGTGCGGTTGATGGGACTGGTTGGGGGTGGAAAGGTGGAAAAGGATGGGTAAGATATGAGTGAGATCATGGGGAGATCATGGGGGCATCATGGGGATATCATGGGGATATGGTGCCAACTTGACATGGATATGATGGTTAATGGATTGGTCTGGGGGTACCGGCTGGACTTTTCCCATAAAAATTGATTGGGGTTTTCTGCGGATCTTGTTTGAAACCAAGACTGGGAAGAAAGGAATGGACCATGAGAGTTGAAATGTGTGATTTGAAGAGAGGTGGAGTTAGTGGAGTGTATAAGCAGTTCAAAGCATCATGAAACTGACTATTGACTATTTCATGGAGAATGTGGTAAAACCCAGGATAAACCATTCACAAAAACTGACCATAAAAGGCTGGGATTCCAACCATCGCCAAATGGGAGTTGCTCATGGCATTGGGTTTAGCACATATGTTGAATGATAGTTACCATATTTTATTGGTGTAATCCTCACGTCCCAGTCAGGCATGGATGATGGATGATGAGATCAGTGATATAACCAGTTTATCCACGACGCATCATCCATAATCAGCTACCCTCTGGTCATTTCAAATATTTCAAGCTAGCTATGGACAATTGCCATGATTTTTTGTGATGATTTACTGTAGTTTACCTAGTGATTCATGGTGATTTTCCATAGCAACCTGCTGAATTCCAGGGTCCCCAGGGTCCCCAGGGTCCCCAGATTTTTTCAGCCGAGGCGTTGGAGGCTCCTGGTGGCAAACATCGCATCAGGACCACCAAGGCTGTAGCCGCCCGAGTGATATACATCATGTGGTAAACCCAATGCCATCAACCTAAGATTTGGGGATGGTTCAAACCATAAATTGCTAATTTTAAGTTTGGTAAAAACCACATCAGAGGCTATGGACTTGCACCGGATCCTCAAAAACCACGTTATTTTCCAAAAAAAATCCATGTAAACCATCAAGTCTAGGTCCTAGGTGTTTTTTTTTTCAGTTTTTCCCAACCTTTTCAGGTCCCGGCAACAAAATTTCGGTAGGCCCAGGCGTTGCGCGTGGGCGCGCGGCGCTTGGCGGAGGCGCCGCCGAGGATTTTGAGGCCCAAGGATCCCTTCAGGCGGGGGGGCCATTGGAAAATGGATATTTCCATGGGGATTTTATAGGGATTTGATAAGGTTTTTATAGGGATTTTGTGGGATTCATCAGGATTTTTTTTTGGGATTTTAAAGACGTTTTTGGGGATGTGCGGGATGAAAATAGGGAGATGATAGGATGACGAATATAGGATCTATCGGATAGAATGGGAGATAGGGGTAGTGACAGTGACAGTAGGGAAAGTGGAGTTGATCTTAAATAGGGGCGACATCCAATCGGGAGGTGAATGGTATGTCTCTTGGGTTGATCTGGTGGAAGATTTTGGAAACGCCAACGGCCAATCATCTCTGGTCATCTCAGAAAAGGGGTCATTCACTGAGGCACCATAGAGTGCAGCTGGACGAAAAAACGACTACTCTGGTCTCCATGAAACCCTTCCAGCGCCCATGTTGGAGGTTGCGGTTACTAGATCTGTGTCAATCTGGAACCGATCTTGTTTTGGAAACTGTCCCATGTTGGAGGTTGCGGTTACTAGATCTGTGTCAATCTGGAACCGATCTTCTTTTGGAAACTGTCCCATGTTGGAGGTTGCGGTTACTAGATCTGTGTCAATCTGGAACCGATCTTGTTTTGGAAACTGTCCCATGTTGGAGGTTGCGGTTACTAGATCTGTGTCAATCTAGAACCTCTCTTCTTTTGGAAAAGGTCCCATGTTGGAGGTTGCGGTTACTAGATCTGTGTCAATCTAGAACCGATCTTGTTTTGGAAACTGTCCCATGTTGGAGGTTGCGGTTACTAGATCTGTGTCAATCTGGAACCGATCTTGTTTTGGAAACTGTCCCATGTTGGAGGTTGCGGTTACTAGATCTGTGTCAATCTGGAACCGATCTTATTTTGGAAACTGTCCCATGTTGGAGGTTGCGGTTACTAGATCTGTGTCAATCTAGAACCGATCTTGTTTTGGAAACTGTCCCATGTTGGAGGTTGCGGTTACTAGATCTGTGTCAATCTAGAACCGATCTTGTTTTGGAAACTGTCCCATGTTCCATGTTGGAGGTTGCGGTTACTAGATCTATGTCAATCTAGAACCGATCTTGTTTTGGAAACTGTCCCATGTTGGAGGTTACTAGATCTGTGTCAATCTGGAACCGATCTTCTTTTGGAAACTGTCCCATGTTGGAGGTTACTAGATCTGTGTCAATCTGGAACCGATCTTCTTTTGGAAACTGTCCCATGTTGGAGGTTGCGTTACTAGATCTGTGTCAATCTAGAACCGATCTTGTTTTGGAAACTGTCCCATGTTGGAGGTTGCGGTTACTAGATCTGTGTCAATCTAGAACCGATCTTGTTTTGGAAACTGTCCCATGTTGGAGGTTGCGGTTACTAGATCTGTCTCAATCTGGAACCGATCTTGTTTTGGAAACTGTCCCATGTTGGAGGTTGCGGTTACTAGATCTGTGTCAATCTAGAACCGATCTTGTTTTGGAAACTGTCCCAATGTTGGAGGGTGCGGTGACTAGAGCTGTCAATCTAAACCGATCGTGTTTTGGAAACTGTCCCCCCTCGTTCCATGTTGGAGTGGCGGGGACAGATCGATGTCAGCGAGAACCGATCTTGTGGGGAACTGTCCCCAGTTGGAGGTTACGAGATCTGTGTCAAGCTGGAACCGATCGCGATCTGTGTCAATCTAGAACCGATCTTGTTTTGGAAACTGTCCCATGTTGGAGGTTGCGGTTACTAGATCTGTGTCAATCTAGAACCGATCTTGTTTTGGAAACTGTCCCATGTTCCATGTTGGAGGTTGCGGTTACTAGATCTATGTCAATCTAGAACCGATCTTGTTTTGGAAACTGTCCCATGTTGGAGGTTACTAGATCTGTGTCAATCTGGAACCGATCTTCTTTTGGAAACTGTCCCATGTTGGAGGTTACTAGATCTGTGTCAATCTGGAACCGATCTTCTTTTGGAAACTGTCCCATGTTGGAGGTTACTAGATCTGTGTCAATCTGGAACCGATCTTCTTTTGGAAACTGTGCCATGTTGGAGGTTACTAGATCTGTGTCAATCTGGAACCGATCTTCTTTTGGAAACTGTCCCATGTTGGAGGTTACTAGATCTGTGTCGATCTGGAACCGATCTTCTTTTGGAAACTGTGCCATGTTGGAGGTTACTAGATCTGTGTCAATCTGGAACCGATCTTCTTTTGGAAACTGTCCCATGTTGGAGGTTACTAGATCTGTGTCAATCTAGAACCGATCTTCTTTTGGAAACTGTCCCATGTTGGAGGTTACTAGATCTGTGTCAATCTGGAACCGATCTTCTTTTGGAAACTGTGCCATGTTGGAGGTTACTAGATCTGTGTCAATCTGGAACCGATCTTCTTTTGGAAACTGTCCCATGTTGGAGGTTACTAGATCTGTGTCGATCTGGAACCGATCTTCTTTTGGAAACTGTGCCATGTTGGAGGTTACTAGATCTGTGTCAATCTGGAACCGATCTTCTTTTGGAAACTGTCCCATGTTGGAGGTTACTAGATCTGTGTCAATCTAGAACCGATCTTCTTTTGGAAACTGTCCCATGTTGGAGGTTACTAGATCTGTGTCAATCTGGAACCGATCTTCTTTTGGAAACTGTGCCATGTTGGAGGTTACTAGATCTGTGTCAATCTGGAACCGATTTTCTTTTGGAAACTGTGCCATGTTGGAGGTTACTAGATCTGTGTCAATCTGGAATCGATCTTCTTTTGGAAACTGTGCCATGTTGGAGGTTACTAGATCTGTGTCAATCTGGAACCGATCTTCTTTTGGAAACTGTGCCATGTTGGAGGTTACTAGATCTGTGTCAATCTGGAACCGATCTTCTTTGGTACCTGGTAAAAACTATTAATAACTGGTAGACATCCCAATGGATTTACTAGAAATGCCCCCAGGCACCTTACTCCTCGGCTGCTGCTGCAGCCGCTGTCTGCTCGGGAGAAGTCAGTTCCTGGCATTCACGCTGGGGGGATCTGCCTGCGTTGATGGGAGGAAGTATGATGGTTTCATGGTAGTTTAGTATGGCTTAATGTGGGAAATTATAGAAAATGATGGTTTAATGATGGGAGTTTAATATGGTCTGATATGGCTTAATAGGGATATAAATGGGATGATGGTCAGAAATAAAGCTCGTATTCTCTGGTTGGTGGCTCAACTACCAAAAAGTGGATATGTGAATCGCTTTAATCTCCCCATTTTGTTCAGGGTCCTGTCTCTATCAAAACATATCAAAGTGCTCTCCCCATTTGATGGCGGGATCACCACTATCGCCACTCCCGGTGGATAGAAATTCGTCAAATCATTCTCTGAAAAACCAGTGATGTGTGTAATTAACTTTGTTATACCATTTTGAGATATTTTCATATTTTTTCATATATTTTCATATATGTTCCCACCATTTTCATACCATTTTCGTACCAGTTTCATGGGTTTCTATCTGATGGGAGGTGCATCAGCTTTTGAACCGAGGCGCCTGAGGAGCTTGATGCAAGCCACGAGGTTGCTGAAGGTCCGTCCGGTCGGATTGTACGTTCATGAGCTTCATCCCACAAAATATGATGTATGATTAATGTGGGTAAAACAATGCCATAAACCACCCATGACTGGGAATGGTAAAGATACCACCTATAAAAATGGTGATTTGGGGGATGTACCCTCTGGTAAACTAACAGTTTGCTATTGAAAATGGCCCATTTAGTTCGTTGATTTACCCATTGAACATTGTTTTTTCCCATAGTTATGTTAGTTTACCAGGAGGTATGATTAATCTATGAATAGGTTTTGACACCCCCGATGTGCTAGCTAGTCAAGCGTTCTTTGTGGAAAGTCTTGTAAAGAGCGGGGTATCATGCATGATCCGTGAGGCAACCGTGCATGGGTAGTATATCCTCTTTGGGGACGAAACATGAGCACACGGATGACCCAAGGCCGTTTAGGAACATGCATGGCTTTGGTGCAGCGTAGTCAACGAAAAAGACTCGAAACCATCCAAAACATTGCTTACCATACACTGTTACAGTGGCTAGTATGATTGGTAATATTGGTATATATTGGTAGGCATCCGCAAATGAGACAACTTGATGCTTGGTGGTTTGGAACATTGTTTATTTTCCATTTCATATATGGGATAATCCTCCCATCTGACTTTCATATTTTTCAGAGGGGTGGCGAAAAACCACCAACCAGAAAAGTGATTCATTATGACCATTAATCACCATTAATCACCATTAATCACCATTAATCACCATTAATCACCATATATCATCCATTATGGTTGGGTTTACCACATATTGGGAGGAACCGCAATCGATCCGTTCAGACATGCCATGGCAGGTGGTCCAGAGACTGATGCGCCGGATCTGGGATGACAGAAGCCATCGATTTTTACCCCTGGAAGTTTAGCGACCAAAAAAGACTTGGAAACCTCTGGAAGATGAGTTTCTGAACTTGGAAAAATGACATAAAATAACATAATGGCATATAAAATGGTGTTTCAATGTGTTTCATGTTGTTGAATACAGGATCTATACAGCTTCTGCTGTGCTTCCTGCTGTGCGATGTCCAACCCTTGCGATGTCCAGTGACATGAGCCCCACGCCAAAAGGCGCAGGGGAGTGATGGTGCCTGGCTGAAATCTGGCCTTGGCACCAAATTGGGCTCTGAAGACAACAATGAAAAATCAGTGGCACGCCCTTTTACATCCTTTTACCCTAACGTTGAATATCATGTGATATCATGTGATAACATGATAGCATCTATTTTGAATCCCGTAATCTGAACACCTAGGATAGGCGGGTGCACAACACATTTTTGAGAGTTAATTCAGATTTTATGCAGTGAACAGTGAACATGAGAATAATTCCATTCCCCAAATAATAGATGCCACATCAAACCCCTGTAGTATTGAATATATTCATTTTGGGATCCTGAAATTTGCGGTAATATTTGGTATGGATGCGGGATGCGGATGGGTTCCTTTTTGTATTTGCCCACAGGATCGCAACGGTTTTTTTTGCAGGACATGTTTGGGGAAAATGGTCGATGGAGAACATCAGGGTACCAGGATGTACCCTCTGGTAATTTAACATAACTATGGAAAATCACAATTTTTAATGGGAAAACTCACTATAAATGGGCCATGTTCAATAGCTATGTTAATTTTCCAGAGGGTACCAGGGCTTTGGCCCACACTCGTTTCCATTCTGACTGGAAATCGATAGGCATATTCTACTCGCCCCCTTGCTGAGGCGAGTAGCACCAAGAAGAGGAAGGTGGAAGAAGGAGGCTGCCATGCGAAAATCCGATGGTTTTTGGATTGAACATGGATTATATATTATATATATATTATATTATATTATATTATATTATATTATATTATATCATATCATATTATATTATATTATATTATATTATATTATTATATTTTAATATAATACTAATTAATAATATATTATACTATTATTATTATTACTATATATATATAATTATATATGTACACGCCACCGTAAAACATATCTTATGAAATCCCCAGCCAAAAATGCGGGGTAACTGATTATCTAATATTTGCCACGATAGACATCTGAAATTTGTGTCTGCCAGGCTCCCCGCAAACGTCCAAGATTTTGGTGGGTGGACACTTCCCAGACTTGGTGGGTGCTGTGATTGGCTTTATGGGTAGATACGGTACAGAGTTCGGATATGTGGGATCCCCAAGTCACGGTCATCCATGACGACTGGATGATTTGGGGGTACCGTACCCGATGAAGTTTAGGAAACCTTCATACATAACCCCCATCATGGCCACACACACACACATTAGCAATCATAAGTATGGAACCCCGATATATTGTGTATGTTTATATTATGTTATATGATGTAATTCTAATGTTAACCACATAACATAGCTATTTTTGATAATATAGGCTAACATGAACATATTATGACATTTCATGTGGCTATTATCTAATACCCTCTGGTAAACTAACATAACTATGGAAAATCACCATTTTTAATCGGAAAATCCACTTTTTCTGGGCATTTTCAATAGCTATGTTAAATTACCAGAGGGTAATGGTCATTACTCAGTTTCATAGCAGCACGACGTCGCACGTGGCCGCTGACAGGAGATGGGCAGTTTGGATCCGGAAAGGCTGGGATGGGATGATCAAAATGGTCGGGGATACCCAGATTTTTTTTCATAGGAACCTCCATGAATATTTGTTTGGATGAGTTCTCTTAAGAAATTTGGGGACACATATAAACACACATTTATAGAACTTTTTTCAGTTGATGAAGATTGATGGTCATAGCATGTCATAGCTATTGATGATATTTGATGGTCATTGAGTCATAGCTATTGATGCAACACATATAAGCGGCATATCACAAGATTCGAAGCGCCTCAGCCAGGGCAAGGGACGATAGGACATCGCGTACCTTGCGCGGCTGAACGAAGGCTGGGCGCCATTCGATTTGATCAATGCAACCTGCCATTTTTCGGCCGGCACGATTGAACGACTTCAGGGCATGTCACATCAATTCAATCAGTTCACATCAAACCAAGAGTTGGTTTATATGAAGTGCTCTGATTTTCATGCCAGAAACCAGAAACCGATTGATCAAATGAAGGCAGATGCGGATCTTGGATCTGGGGAAAAAAACTGCCTGCTCCTTTGGGGTGTCCCTTAGAGCTGCATGTCAAGGGTTTTCTGGTGGCAGTTTTCAAGAACCCTGCGGGGTGTTGGTTCGAAAAAACTGCCTGTTCCTGGTGTGGCCAGAATTGATGAATATTGATGAACATTGAAGATTCATACCTCCGCATCGTGCTGTGTGTTGATCTGACATGTGGGTCACGACATTTGTTCCCTTCATCGCAGTTTCGTGGGTGTAAGACGGTGTGTGTAGATTCTAAAGTTTCTAAAGTGTGGAAATTTACGGGATGCGGATAGCTCAACCATTACAGATGGTGATTTTCGGACGTGGTTTTTGGTGATTCACTTCTCCGTGAATCAACCCTTGATGAATCCACTGGATGAACAACCTGGATGAATCGCCCTTGCGCGCTGAGCTGAAATCAGCGATGGTTAACCAGCTTCAAACCGAAAAGAACTATGATGCATCCTGCGATACGAGAAATAGTTCCTGGATAGCTCAAATAGAGACCTCATGCTCAAACAGAGACTTCATGAGGATTAGTGGGTGTTCACCAGCACCATTGCCCTCGCAGCTTGAGGATCCATTCGAAAACAAACAGCAATTTTGCTCCATAAGGATGAGGGGTATGGCCGCAAGTCATGTCTGATTCACTTTTTAACAGAGCACAGCAATGTCTTTGAGATGCGGAACAGCACTGTGATGACCTCGTGGCTATGGTGGGGACCTCATGGCTGGAGGGGTTTTGGGATGCCCCATAGATTTCACCCGCCCATGGCTGGAGGTATACCCAGCTACTGTCTGACCCCGGAAGAGATATTTTTTTTTTGGCTCTAGTTACTAGACTGATGCTTGAGAAGATATGGAGGTTTTTCTAAAATATGGGTATCTGCAGTATCCCAAACCATTGATTTTCCCAGTGATAAACATAAATTTTGGATGATTTTTGGGTATTTGGGTACCACAATTTTAGGAAAAAACATCATATGAGACAGCACTCCTGCTAAGAACGGCTGTGGCGGCTTCCCAGCGGCTACGAATTCAGTGCTCCAGCGTCAATGCTGGGATGGACTGAGATCTTGTGGAAATAGGGGTTCTTGTCCCTGAAAAAAAACACATAAAGCGGTGGTTCAACAATATAATGGTGAAACATGCTGGTGTGACAATCAAAAGTTCGGATTTAAGAATGGAATAATGGACATGGGATGAAATGGGTTTGTCCCACCATGGTGGCTTTGACTCTAATTTTATGGCAATTTCTTTGTAGGGGAAAATGTGGTATTCGCCATAGAACTTCTGGGTGTCCCTACTTGTAGTTACTAGTTTCAGACAGCCGCAGATGTCAATGGCTTTGTCAATGGGGTATCCCGGAGGCGCCTCATGAGGATAAACTGGGGTTCAATTTGGAAGGCGAGTCCCAACTTTGCCTAGCACACCGAATCATCTCAGTTGGTATTCTATGGTTATTTCCATAACCTCAGTAGGACCAGGGATCATTGGGTCCACATTGGTGCTGTTGAGGCGAGTGATATGTGAACTAAACATTTTCTCCAGTGTCTTATCGCTGTTTCGTGTACATCAAGTTATGTCACCATTTACCATTCTTGGTAATCATTGTATAGGTATTGGCTTAAGGTTGAGGGGATCGTAAATCGCACTTGTAGATGGTTATTTCCCTTTTTTGTTGGTTAAAGCATTTTTTTCTACCGCATTCGATGCTTTCACCACCATTTTTGCTTTAATTTTTGTCTGTGGCAGATTCCCACTTCTTTGCTGTGAGGTGACACCTGCAAATGTTCGGGCCTTGATTTTCTTCGGGCGGTCACTGCCGGGTATGAAAACATTTTTTCATCAACAAGAGTTGGGGAGAGAATCATCAAACATATGGGGATTTTCATGAATATTTCAGCAACATCAACCAAGATTCCAATCCTGAAGCATCCAAAACTATGTGTAAAAACATGACATGGGATGACATGGAATGACCATGTTGGATAGATCTTCACAACTGGGTGGGGACGTCCAGGCCTGGCTGCAAATTCTATGCATTTCAATGGGGCCCCCTTAACATGTTTTGATGAATTTAACCATCAAGCTATGGAGATATCTGTGGATATATCATGATATGTCATGATCCCAAAATGGTTGATGACTATATTAGACTAACCCATATATAGTACATATAGTAGGATTAGTTTACCATATATAGTACAGGAGATATATAACTAACCTATTTAATGTTATTTAACCATATATCTGTACATCTCCTGTACCATCTAACGAATTTTCACGAACCCCACCGCTGTTTTTTTTGCGCACCGAGGCCCAGAGGCCCTGAGCTCAGATGGGCGATGATGGGCGATTCATGGAAATGGATGACCCCTTCATGAGGAGTTTCATGGATTTTCATGGATTTTCATGGATTTTTTTGATTTTCATGGATTTTGATCCACTCTACATGGAAACTGATGGATTTGGATCAACTTTGGGACATTGACATCTTGCAGATTTTCATCCATTTTGGATGGTTTTTTTTTGGATCATTCTGCAACATTCTACAATGCAATTTGCGGAACATGGTATGTGGAAAATTCTGTAGACACGTCGCTGGACCTGGATCCTTCCAACTTTGCTCAACTTTGGGGAGACTTTTTTGGGGATGAGACACAGCTTAGCTATTTTTCTTCAGTATCACACGTGGGTTTTTTGGTTTCTTGACGATTCAGAGTCAGCCGAGAACACCTGAGGTCTTTTGAGCATTTGGCAATGAGGTTTGCCATTTGTAAACATTGGCCGAAC